TAAATACTTACTCAACACTGTGGTTTCAAAGCCAACACATCTTCAGTTTTTTAAACAAGTTTAGATATAACATGGTTTCTACAGTTTTCATCAAGTCAAATTTAAGACTTTAAGACCTTTTTAAGACAATTATGAATACAATTTCAGACTTACACAGGGCTAAATGCTAAGGATTTTTTTTTCTAATGACCCAGTCAAAATATTAAAAACAAACATTATTGTAAGGAAGCTAATTAAATGATATTGGCAAATAGAAGTAATGAATACATTTATTAAAACTTTTGTTGAGATGGAATGTTTGTAATTGGATGGGTGTTCAATTCAATGATTATGTAGCGCTTTTGCAATGTACATTGTGTCAAAGCAGTTTAACATAGAAGTTCTAGTAAATTAAAAAGTGTAAGTCCAGACTTCAGAGTTGAAGTTCAGTTTAGTTCAGTTAAGTGTGGTTTAAATTTCACTGCTGAAAGTCCAAACACTGAAGAGCAAATCCATTGATGTGCAGCTCAACAAGTCCAAAACCAAGTAAGAGAGTGGCGAGACACAAAACTTCACCAATTGATGAAAGTGAAAGAAAAATGTTGAGGTGATTGGGTAGCTTTACATGGACATAGGAAAATTAAGACATGTTAAAAATGATGTTAGCCAACAACACATTTCAGCGAATTTAAGACTTAATGCCAAAAATTTAGTTTTTAAAATTGAAGACATTTTAAGACCCCGCAGATACCCGGTATTACAATTGATAATACTGTAATATTTGAGTTTATATTGAATATTTAATGCACTTCATCTACATCATTGGAGAAAAAAAACTTAGAGACCACTTGGACTTACTAGATTTGTAATGCATATCAGTTTTATTCTGTAAAGATTTACACCAATTTATGATGGCATTATTCAATTTTAGTATTCACATGCTATTATTCATGCTCTAAATCAGTTACATATCAAAATGACAACTGCTAAAATGATTAGTTTTATTTGTTTTTATTCATCAATCATGGTTATTTCACCAAATATTAATTTAACACTTCTATAGATAAAACATTGGCATTGTGTTGTTAAAAAATCAATACATGTCTGAAAACATGTATGCATGCTAACTTACTGTTATTTTATGCAGAAATGCTCTAAATGACATTTTCAAATCTAGTTTAAAGATTGAAACAAACATTGGATTACTTTTACTCAAACGCACATCTACAAAGAGCGAACACAAGAAAAAAATTTGCATTGTCACAGGGTCTCAAACTCTTTTTCAATGCCATATGTAGCTATGTGCCTTCATTACTTTTAGATATTATTTACATAAACCTAAATTACACTGGTTAAGTCTAAACTAAATGATAATGAGCTTTGTCTTTATAAAAGGTTTTTGATACCACATGGCTTACATTTAGAGTGTCTGTATAAACTTTTAGTGGAATGTACATTCAAAGTCCCAGAGTTCATTAAAAAAAAGAAGTTCATTTGTGTCTTGAAGTCAAAAGTTCAGATCAACGCATGGGTGACTAAATGATGACAATGTGTTTGTTTCAAGCATCCTTTTTGCACGACAGCCTATGGAAAATATTGCAATATCTGAGATAAATCTGTATCAATGGTTGATATCAGTAACCGCAGAACAGAAAAGGAAAAGGAAATGATGCTAAAGAGGTCAGATTGATCGCAGATTGACATTGACTCATGAAACACTAGCAGAAGCATTACAGACAATGTTTCAGACAGCATGATCACATTTAAATGTATTTGACGGACCCGTTTAACAGACTATAATGACACCGTTTTAGTACTAATATATAACTATATAGTAATGTTTTTTAATCCCTTTAACTACCAAATAGTTGACCATATTTTGACTGTTTTAAATAATGTGTTAAACTCATTTAAAGAATGAATGTTTTAAATAATAGTTTACACACATTGTTGGTTTCCAACAAACAAACAAACAAACAAACAAACAAACAAACAAACAAACAAACAAACAAGAAAACATGTTAAATGAGGATCTGTTATATCTCACAGCATACTCATATTAAGATAATTTATTCTTACACTTTATATTTTCCGACTTTTCATAGTTTCTGTATTAATTCCACTACTTTTACCATATAAACCGATATATAGTTGATATTTTAGAAATTATGGGATATATGGACAAAAAAATGCATTGAGTATATTAACTTGAGACATGAGTTAAAAAATGCAATCCAATTTCTTTTTCTTGGTGGGGCAGTTAAAATGTTTTATGTATTTGAAGTGAAATGTATTAGCCCTTCTTTGAAATTGGTATTCTTTAAGTATTGAGAAGGTGCTCGCTGCAGAGCCACTTGGGTTGAGCTCACCTCTAATGATGGGGAGCTTGAGGTTGAAGAAGTGGTGTGATGGGGATTCGGGGATGAGGTGTCTGAATAACAATTTGAGAACCGGACTATGCAACGGGTTTTAGGCGGCGGCTGCGATCAGATGTTACAGACCGTACCAAAAAGCTAAGGCCCAGGGGTGAGAGGGGGAGGTGAAACTATATGAGATTTCCAGAAGAAATTACAAAACAGGAGGTTGGCGGAAGATGGGTCTGAAATACAGGGAGACGCCCGGGAAAAATGGGAGTGTTTGCAGGTATGACCTTACCCTTAACCTCAACCCCCAGTGACATCATTTGTTGAAGAAGTGCAGCAAGGAGGAACTGAGCTCAAGCTCCCCCTTGGCAGCTCTGCTCTGCCCATGTGGCTCTGCAGTGAGCACCACTTGTACATATTTCCCAAGTGCTGTTTGACAGAGCAAGGACTTTTTTGCTAAATCTTCTACAGACAAAAAATAATAGCAAAGATTACTTCTTTTAAATCGACTGGAATAAAAATGATATATCTTCATGTTAAAAAAAACCTTGCAAAATGTATACTGTCATCATGGTAAAGACAAAAAATTGTTATTAGAAATTAGTTATTAAAACTTGTTTTCAAATGTTGAAAATAAGAATAATAATAATGGTGTCTTCAACTGTATATATACACTTTCTTAGTGTCTACAGATATAATGTATATTACTGCTCAATGCTTTTCTATTTTGCCATTAAATGACATAACTAGGTAACACTGCTGCTGTGTGACTGTTTCTAATACACCAGCCGAGCAAGTCTGACTTCTTTCTCTTATTTGACCAGTGTTTCTAATGTAACTCTGCATCAAATTTATACAAACACTTTTTTTTGGCTTTTGTGAACCATGTAACTGATATAAAAATAATAATTACATATTTAGTAGTTTTTCACACTACAATTTCTGACTATTTTATGAATTTGACTTCATAATAACCTGAATGCTAAAGTCCCTCTAAACTCATTCCTATAGTCATCACCATACAGCCAAAGGATTTGGACTTTCAAGACATGTATAGGGCTGTGAGGGACAACATTGTTGTGCAATGTTAAAGCAATTATGTAATGATTAACTGATAATGGGCTGTTATTATTAGAAACAATTGCACACCCAAGATAGTGATGCAGCCACAATGATTATTTTCTAAATGAGTCAGTTCTTCTACTTGTACTACAGTTACCACACCTAAAGACGCTCTTGAGGTGTTGTATTTCAGACTTATGTTAGGTTTGTGTTTCTAACAGCTCCTGTGGGTTAGACTAATTTTTTAAGAATCTCAATCAAAGCTTTGCATTTTATTCTGGTGCAATTTCTGTATGCTGTGAATTCACAGAAATCATTCAGTGTAGTGATGTGAGACTATAATGCTGTCAAAACATGCCTGGAGCTAGATTACCTGTGCATTAATCTGAAAAAATTGCACACTTTACAATATTTATCAGCCAAACCAAAATAAGCATTCAACAGCCCCATGGTATTAGATAACATAGACAATAAGTACGCCCTAAAAATGAAAATAACTTAAAAGAACACTACACTTTTGTAAATAGGCTCATTTTACAACTCGGTCACTTTCCTTCAGCTTATTCGCTGATTTGTGAGGGGTCACGGCAGCATAATGAACCTTTAATTTCTCAGGCAATTGTTTATATAGTAGATGCAATTTTAGCTACAACCCTCAGCGCTGGGAAAAACCCACACACAGACACACAAACTCCCATTCACACACTATGGCAGATTTAGCATGTCTTTGAACTGTGGGGAGACACCTGGAGAAAGGCTACACAGCCGCAGGGACAAACATATACAGACCTTCTGATCCAGTGGGGACTCAAACTAGCACACTGCTTGCTGTGAGGCAATCGTGTTATCCACTTAGCCACTGTGCCATCCCTTTTTACAACTTCAACCTTCAACAAATTCTTGCACTCACTCTCCCAATCTGACGAGAGCACTTTTAGCTTAGCTTAGCATAAATCACCAAATTGGATTAGACCATTAGCATGAAAGTTTTGATAATTTAAAGCTGTGACTCTTCTGTAGTACACGTTTTAAGAAAAGCCACTGTTTCGTCAGCACATATAGCTAGACACTATACTCATTTTGGCGTAATAATCAAGGAACTTTTCTGCTGGCCATGACTGCAGCAGACACAATGATATTATGCAGCATATTACATCTAGCTGGAGACCATGGAATGGTAGCAAAGTTACTTGACAATTACATAACAATAAGCGTATAGTTCCTAGCCATATTGGCCTAAAAAAACAGAACCTTTTGATTTTCCATCAGTCTTACAATCAAGCTTTTAACAGGAAAATTACCTAAACTCTATTCTCTTTACATTTTTTGAGCGAGATGCTAATTGCCTAATCTGATTCAACGACCTAAGCTAAGTTAAACGTGCTTCCACAAGACCTGAAGATCAGCTGAATGGATTGAAAAATGGTAAAACTGAACTGTTTAACTCTAAGGGAGATATAAAATGAGCCTATTTAATAAAAAAGTGGGGTGTTCCTTTAACAAATGGATTTTTATGCGTCTAAGCTTTATGTATTATACTTAAGTGGTTTAACAAAATTGCACAGTGTGCTAATTGAAATGGGTCAGAAGCAATTTTGCAGGATACTGATGTTATGTTCTCATGTTTTCTCCAACAAACAGTTGGAGATTACGATACTCCAGAGTTCCCCTTACCTGAGAGACAGTGATCCCACACTTCTTGGCCAGCTCTTCCTTGGCTTCCTCACTGGGATACGGGTTGGAGAGGTGAGAGTAGAAGTACTCGTTCAGGACCTCTGTGGCCTGCTTATTGAAGTTGCGTCTCTTACGTCTGCAGACACAGCAGGCAGAGAAATCAGGTGAGCATTTTAGTCATAATAGCGCAGATCAACATATGCAGCTGACACACACACACACACACACCTGGCGTCGAGGAAGCGGGAGCGCAGGATCATGACGGCCTCGCAGGTGCTCTGCTTGAGCTGCATCTGGATGGAGCTGAACTTGCGGTGGATGATGGCCACCATGCGCTCGATCTCTTTGGGTGAGATGGGCCGTGTGCGGGACTGTTCCCTCAGCAGGTTCATCACGTGATTGGTGAACTCACTGCAGGCCTGGTGGCAAACAGATTTGATGATTATAACATAGTCGAAGTTAAAATTATCAGCCCTCCGGTATTTTTTTTTCCATTGTCAAAAATTTCCCAAATGATGTTTAACAGAGCAAGGAATTTTTCACAGTATTTACATTAATATTTTTTCTTCTTGAACAAGTCTTACTTGTTTTATTTTGGCTAGAAGAAAAGCAGTTTTTCTGCTTTTCTTCCTAGCTAATTCAGCATGGTGGCACCTAAAGAACTGCAGAAATTAATGAGTTGCTTTGGTTACTACAAGTAAACAAAACAGCATGATGTCAAATCTAGCAGGATTTCATTGATTTCATAAACTATACAGCATCCTGCTTTTCGCAGATTTAATTCAGGCAAACTTTAGCATATAACCATACATTGCATAATCAAAAATTGTATAAAATTTAATACCTTGCAAAATAACAATAAAGACTTTTGAAATCTTTAAGGGGCTTAAATTTCTCCACATTGAATACTTAAGACCCCGCGCACACCCTGTTTAATAACAATTGTGACAAAAAAAAGTGTCAGACTATAGGTGAAAAAAAATCACCCACCATCATTCAATGTTACACATCACACTCACTTTAAAATAGATAAAAGTATAAGCAATGATGTTACATTTAGATGAATCAAAGATGTATGCTGACAAACAATTAAAATCCAGTAATTTGAACAATAGTAAAAACAAAGAGTTAAAATGACAGTTAAAGACAGTTGTGTATTTGAGGGCTACACTGAGCATTTATTTAAATACAACAATTATATTTTTAAATTATTTTGTGTATTTTGTATATTTATTCATGTAATTTTATTCTGAATATCCTATGATTATTAAATGTACATCATTTTTATGCTACTAAGGGGCCGTTCACATATAATCTCTTTTGGGCGAGCAAGTTTATTATTTCCAATGGAGGTGTGTGTGGCTTGCGCATGCATATTGGGAGCAATGTGCTCACATTTCCCAGGGGCACTTAAAAACATCTCACCATTTTAGCGCAATTGAACTGCAAGTCACTTGACAACAACTAACCAATCAGCTTCATACTATGAATGGAATATACACATTTCGGTAGACTAATTACAAACACAGAACACCCAAACGTTGCAGTCCTTTTAAAATTTCTCTAGAAATAAAACTAGTATCAGAGAATGCGCTCGCAATCTCCACATGAAATTAGATGTAATACGTGAATGGCCCCTTATGTACAGGTCATTTTTTAACTTAAATGTTAAAAGTCTGAAAAGATGAGCACTTCTCAATCTGCACTTTTATGAATCGTAAGTATTTTGGTAATAAATCTTCATTATGGTTTCAGCTCCTCTCCTTATTGAACTTTTGTATGAGAATAAAATTGGTTACAGGGACAGCTAAAGCCCAAAAAAGCAAAATACTATTTTTTAAAAAATTGACTCCTACAGGTTAAAGAATGATTAATGAATGGATTAAATTCATTAAACTGTGAGGTAATCTCTTTCTTTAATGACGTTTACTTTTTTTTTTAAATTGAGCTAAACTCCTGAAGTACGTGTGTGTGTGACTCTGACCCATGGTTTCTGCTACATTCATTCTTCCATGGCGGGGCGCCACGCCAAAATTTATCCTGCCACAGCTACATTACAGCTACTCAGTTAAAACATTCACTCATGTTTTTAATAGCGCGTGATAATCGCACCAAAACGTTTTAAAAGGTAAGTGAGTTATAAAAGCGCAAACTTTTCTGTAACCGTAGCAGTGTTGTGCGTTAATTAATTAACCCTTTAAGGTTACGTGCTGACTGACTGAGGCCAGCAAACACGACGTATAGCCATTTCACTTTACTTCTGGATGCATTAATACGGCTCTGTAGGTCTATTGGAGACATTCATAAATATTCCTAGCAAAACTAATAAATGTTGGAGACATACTTGTTACATAAACTCACTAAATCGCACTTCAGCATCATTTATTTGAGAGCGCACAAGAAGATCTGAACTTGAGTAGCGCATGCTCGTAGGCTATTACGTCAATGCGCTCACGACATTTGTCATCGCAATAATGACAGGTAGTTGTAGATCTGTGTAAAAAAAGGCCTGCTGCCACAGCTGGAAAAAATCCTAGAGGAAACACTGCTCTGACCTGTTCGTATTTCTCCAGCTCGGAGTGGTAGATCTGGCGGATCTGTGCGAGTTTGGCTCTGTAGTCGGAGTGTTCGATGCTGCCATCATTAGGTGATCCTCCAGCTGCTGCTGCAGCTGCTGCTGCCGCCGCAGATCCTCCACCCTTCTCTGGCCCAGAGACGCCCTCAGCCAGCAGCATGTTATCCAGACGCATGATCTGTGGATCTGGAGGATCCTCCTCCTGCACGCCTCTGATGCTCAGCACTGCAAAACACAAAAACAACAGTCAAATTCAGCTTTCTGAAACCAGTCATGTATATAAAATTCAGCATATAATGGCACAAAGGAAACAAGAGCCAAATTTAAATCACTCCAATGATAAACCATGTAGAGCCAATTCTATTTAAAAAGAAATACAATGAATGTCCACATGATCTCATTGGGTTTCTCAGTTCATATCTCGCATCTATTTAAGCTTGTTAACATCGGCTGATCATTGTATTGAGTAAAAGATAAGAATGTAACAATTCACCCGACTCAAGATTCCATATGATTTACAATACTAATCTCACGCTTCAGTCATGATTTATACAAGTAATACAAACTAAAGAAGACTCATTAATATAAACAAACTAACAATGTGCTGGGATTTTACACATTTTAAAAAAAAAGAGATATCTGTATATCTCCATTTTCTGATATAAACTGAGGTTTTATTACATTTACAGTTGAAGTCAAGAGTTATTAGCCCCCTTGAATTATTAGACCGCTTGTTTATTTTTCCCCCAATTTCTGTTTAACGGAGAGCAGATTTTTTCAACACATTTCTAAACATAATAGTTTTAATAACTCATTTCTAATAATGGATTTATTTTACCTTTACCATCATGACAGTAATTCATATTTTACTAGATATTTTTAACGACACTTCTAGACAGCTTATAGTGACATTTAAAGGCTTAACTAGGTTAGTTAGGTCAACTAGGGAGGTTAGGATAATTAGGCAAGTTATTGTATAACGATGGTTTGTTCTGTAGACTATTGAAAAAAAAAAAAAACATAGCTTAAAGGGGCTAATAATTTTGTCCCTAAAATGGTGTTTAAAAAATTAAAAACTGCTTTTATTCTAGCCGACATAAAATAAGACTTTCTCCAGGAGAAAAAATATGATCAGACATACTGTGAAAATTTCCTTGCTCTGTTAAACATCCTTTGGGAAATATTTAAAAAAAGAAGAAAAAAATAATAATAATAAATCGAAGGGGGCTAATAATTCTGACTTCAACTGTACGTGTCCCCTGCAGATGAAAAACTCTTTGACTAGGGACGGAGATGGCTGGTGTGACTGCAAAGAGGTAAGCCTTTCCTAAACCAGAGAGCAGGGTGTACAGGAGGTCAATGACTTATTAATAGTTTTTTTGAATATAGATTCTGAAGGTTTATGTGCATCATATTTATTGATCTGTTAGTGTAAGTAAACGCCGTTTTGCATTATTTGCACATAGTTTGTGTTTTTGTCTGGCGACCTTCACGGCTGTAGTCTGCCATCCCACCTCTCGCCCGCCGCTTATATACATGTAAAGCAAGTTTGTGCCTGTAAACACAGCGCCCCTTGTTCAAAACATGCATCGCAAGTCGTTTAACATTTCTACTGATTTGAATAGTTACATTTTTTAAACGATTTTCAACCGGCTCACGGTGAATCGTTAAATCCCAAGTAAAAGATAAATACAAACAAAACAAATCAAATACAATGAAAATAATGACAATATATATATATAACTAGAGACCACTAGAATAGTTGACTTGGTTTCTGCAAAAAATAAAATTAGATTAATGACAACTGAAATTGGAAACATTTACAAAAACACTTTCAAGCAACAATAAATACTACTGTAATAAAGTGTTTACTTTGATGTAAGATTTTATTTTATTTTAAGATGGGTGGGCTACTTTTTTAGTGTTACAATTTACCAAGAGGGTTATGGGCTATATGCACGGCTAGTGTTTTTCAGCCCATGATGAACTTCTGGTGAAAGCTTAATGTGAATATTTTCAATTTCATACGGTTCCTTTTACAGCATCGATGTTGTAATGTACCACATCCAATTGGTTGTTAAAACGCAAAAAGAGACGAAAGACCGTTTTTAATGCAGGTGCCGTCATTAGCAGCAGGCTAGTGCAGAATATTCATAAAAAATACTGGGGTAAAATTAATTTCAATATTTTAAAGACATGACGGTCAGAGCAATGAAATTAAGTACAGGGTTTCTTGTTTGGCCTGATACCCACTTTATATCGCATCTCATTCAGGCAGTGAAGATTGCGTTTTTTTTGTGTTTTTTTTTTTAGAAATCAGATCTTAAACACTGCGTTTTTGTATGGGATGACAATTAACCAGAAGCCCAGGGGCTGCCTGACTGAAATTAAAAGTCTGGTTGCATATACCCCATTACATCAGTTATTTTCCACATATCATTTAATGTTAGAGTCTTACAGTCCTCGTTAGCGTAAATATATCAGTTGTATTATTAATTAGTGCACCAATATTTGTATTTTGTTTAAAAGAAAGGCTGCTTTAACTCTTACAGTTATCATGGTTGAAAAGATTCATTGCAACAAAAACAATTTAAGGAAAATCTTTTTTATAAAAAAAAAAAAAGTAAGATATTATAGAAAAGAAAAACAAACATCAGGGGGGAAAAAGGAAAACGTATAACAGTGTTCCAGTTGCCCCTAGTTTCCCCCTACCTCAAAAAAAAAGTATGCAAATCCCCTGTGAGCCAGCAGAGGGCAGCATGGCACCTCATTGGCAGGCCAGAGTGTAAGGCACAGGTCCAATAATAGGAGAGCATGTGCTGTCACTACAAGCACCAGCAGCCATAAGTACACAGTTCTCTGGCACTGAATTAAAGCAAGACCTCTGTCATCTTCCTGATTCAGGCCCATCGCTCACACCTATACGAGCACTCGCTCCACACTCACATACATATGCAGACGCAGAGCTGCCCGGTGACTGAGGCCAAAGCGTGAGAGCGATTATGTGTGGAAATACATGACACCCACCGAAGAGGGTTTGTGGTTGCTCTAGAGCACTTTCACACAGAGAGATATATGAGAGGTTGATGTACAAAGGGAAATGCCACATTATATAACATTTACAGACACTTTTTATAGGTAAATATAGAACTTATTTGAATCTGCAGATATTTTTGATGAGAATTTTGGGGGAAAAAAATCTGTGGATTAATGCTGAATGGTTTTAGGAGTATCATAACTAAAAACTTAATTTATGAAATAAAAAATAATACATTTGTAACTTTTATTTAATCTTTATGATGCAAATCTATCTAGATCCACTTATTTGGAAAACAAAGCAAGTCTCTCATATAATATCTCAACTAAAAGACAGAACACATTACTTTACAAACTGTATAGTAAATAAATCATATGAACATTTTCATATTATTATTATTATTATTTTGATTATTATATACCACACTAATATTAGTGAAATGAATTTAAAAACTGAACAAATATGAATTGACACACATTTACTTAAGTAAATACATCGACTCAATTATAAAAATCTGCACGCAAATTCCATGTGGGCCTACTTATGAGTAATGGCACTTAGAAATGTGTGTAAAATAAATATAGTTAAAAACAGAAGTATTACAGAGCAGTTTTTGTAAGATTGATACACTATTGTAGTTACTAAATACTTATCAATAATATAAAACAGAGAAAACGAATTGCAAACAGTTGACATCTCTTTAGTTTCTATAATGTTATTATTATTAATAAATTTGCATTATTTTACATCACAGATGTAGATGCAATAGTTTTGCATTTTATTTAAGTGGCTATAGTTTTTATTCATTTTAATTGCATTTTGAATTAACACATCAAGTGTATTTAGTTACAGGTATTTAATTTGAACTTATTTTAAATGAGAGAATTATTCTCTCTTGGGCGTCACGGTGATGCAGTGGGTAGCATGTTCGCCTCACAGCAAGAAGGTTGCTGGTTCGAGCCTTGGCTGGGTCAGTTGGCGTTTCTGTGTGGAGTTTGCACGTTCTAACTGTGTTTGT